TATCTAAGTACTATTTGTATATCAGCTGGTCATTCTTGACGCAATGAATCACTGGAAGCATACACATCACCATCAGTTGACATCATTTCCACAGTGGAAAAAAGTTGAAACACCTATCGCAATTTATAACTTTATGTACCTTTTAGTATTAAGGCTTGCACATTACGTACATCAATAGTATGGGCCTAAATGGAAAAAAAGTCTTGATCAGAGAGTGCTAATCTTGCATCAATCTTTACATGGAGCTGCAAAGATGTCCATTCATAAAGCAAAGAACCAGTTGGGTTTACAAATCTTCAGTTTTTGTTCAATCATTCATCCTTAACATTGTAAATTTAGGTAAACTAATTGAGTACCTTTTGAGCAAAGTACACTGCTCTTGGTTTCCGATTTGTAAGATTGCAAAAATGTGCCATTGCAATCCATGGTTCTGCCTTCAATTGAGTAACCTGAATCAATTCCTTTGCAAGTCTGTCAAAACAAATTGAATTTACTAGTTTTTAGGAAAATAATATTGCCTTAACCAATAAGGCTTCCTTCATTCATTGTTATGTGACCAGCATGAACCCCCCCTTCCCCCTCACACACACACACATAATACACAAATACTACTGCTACATTAGACAGACTTACCGTTCTAACTCCTTTCCATTGTTATCTTGTGCTAACAGGCTTGCATACATATCCATTCCCTGTAACATGTTGGGATCAAGCGCACGAACCTGCATTAAAAATAAAAAAATGGTGTTGAGATTGCTAATGAGTCAAAATTTGGTTTCACCCATATCTCTCAAAGAATAATGATTTGAACATTAATGTCAATTGATCTTTCTGAACTAATTCATTACCCTTTGAAACACTGCCTTTGCATTTTTAGTGTCMCCAGCTCTGTAGAAATTCTGTGCAGTGTCACACAATATTTCTACATTGTCATGCAATACCTTTAAGACACAACAAACACAAATTAATCAGAATTATAGCTGAAATATCAAGTTCTTTTCAAGAGTAAAAACATTTTACTATTCATACTTGTTGTTCCAAGGACTTTAGTGAGGGTGCTGCCTCTACAAATAATATTTAAAAGACATGCAAATAAATATTATATAATATTATAATAAATCCCAAACATTTACTTTAATATTAAAATATTCTACAACGATGCAATGTCAATTGACTTTTTTGTCTTATATGTATAAAATGTGAACATACTTGAATGTTTATTGGTTGCTTCAAGAGCTTGTGCCTTTATCCATGTTGTTAACCTAAACAAAGAAATCACTTCATCAATATTGAGATATTAGGGCTAATACATGTTGCCTCATTTTATGATGACTTTTTYGACATTTTACCAGTCACATGGTGGGGTTCCTGATGCTGTAGACTGTTGGTTCTTTGTAACAAGTGAAATGACTTCTGTTGCTGTTGAACCAAGCTTCAGTAAACCTTTAACAGCGTCAAGTGCAGTTGGACAAACTCTGTTGCAAATAATGAATAAAATTACCGTATTTACCCACCATGTATAAGCCGCATTTTTTTACCAAAAAAGTCGTTCCCAAATCGGGGGTGCGGCTTATCTACGAGAAGTGTAAAATTGCCCAATAAAAACTAATTTGCATAAATTAGCATTCACGGTGCTACTTACTGTAGACAGGACATCAGTAATGTGATAAGTTTGTTTGGTATCAGATGATCAAACTTTTCAAAGTTATCAAATCTTAAGTTGTCAACCTTAACTACAGGCTATAATAACAATGTAATGTTGTCAATATCCTCTGAACTAGAGGGAATTTTCATGACTGCAAAATCTTCAGCACTTTCGTGCTGTGATGTTAATCATCATGACTGTGATGAGTTCAATACCTATTTTTATCAAAAATCAACAATTAGATGAGGTTAACATGCAATGATCCATGCCATTGCATAGTCATACAAAATGTGCTCTGTCAGTAAGTTTTAGCAATTACCTTAAAACTTCTTTATAACATGAAATAGAGGACCTGTAAACAGGAGCAAAGCATCATGTCATCATTTAGAAACATTAACCAAAATGTTATGAGAGATAAGGAAATAATGACCATAAATTCAGCCACAAATAAATGCCATAAATTCTGACCAAATCATTAAAATACCTGGTATTAATAACCAGCACAATATCACCTTGTGTATATTTATGCAGATGAAGGATTAACGTCCGAAATGTCAGTAGGTTGTTTCACCTACTTATTTTATGGTGTTAAAATTTATCTTTTCTTACGAAAAGATCTGTTTCTTTAGAAACGCTGATGCAGCTCACACTTCTTCACCGCTAGTTTCCACCATATTTGTGGTATACACTTATTGTAAAGGACATTTATCTAAGTTTTTTACCTTTCCATGCCTTGCCATTGATATAGATGTGCTAATGCCATATTGATCTTAGGTGTCCTCTGTTTCTGAGAAACACCTTCCAGCTGAAATAGGAGATAAATTACATGCATATTTATTGTTAAGAGCATGTCGATCTGTAGTGACGCTTATAATTATGAATTACATTTACACTATCTTCTCACAGTTGGATTAATATATAATAATATCATTACTAGTAATAAAAATAAATTTTTAATTACAATTATGTACTTACTATAGCTAATGCATCTTTGTGCTCTTTCAGAAAAGTGTAACATTGGTACATTTTATATTTTACTTGAACTTCTGGGGTAAGACCCTGAAACAATACAAACATATCACATCATGCACCTCTATTGTTTTTAAAGCCTATTCTCTCATTGTTTACTGTGCCCCAAATGAGCAATGCCTGCACGAAAGCTATTGTTTATAACATATGGGATATACTATAGCCTCCCATCAACATATGATAATAATAAGGTTCTCTAGCAGTTATCAAGCTAAAATAAGGTACATAACTATCACGTAAGGATAATCCTGCAAATCAACTTAAAATATTACACAACATAATTTCCATACCATTGAAGAGGTTATTTTGGATTTGTTCTTGCTGAGGACCTTTCTTAGCTGTAAGGCTTTATTGTAGTAATTCTAAAATTGAAAAGATTTTTTTGTTGCTACTTTGATCTAGCAAGTCACATAAAGTTAAGAGGTCAACAGACATATGCAGGGGTTTTTTTTGGAGGACGTTTCAAGTTGTGATTTGAAGATTGTGAAAAAATCATTGACTTCAAAATTGCACTAAAGTATTATTTTGGATTTGCATCAAATGTCATCAATGATGAGGCTACTTTGCATTGTATAGTATTTTTTATAGTGTCAAGTATTCAAAAATTACATTGTAAAAATCAATTTTTTTTGATATCATTGCTGTTTTCTTTACAGATTATATGAGCTACATTGAAAGAATAGCACCAGGTTGTTTGAATATAATAATAACAATACCTCGGCACGCTTATATTGTTCATCTTCAAATAAACAGTCAGCAAATATAACCATCAATGTGTACTTTGAAGCCATACTTTGTGCATCTTGTTTGTCAGTTATGTCATTTTCTTGTTCTGATAATAGACAGCTGGCCTACAATCAAAGCAAATAATTACTTATGACCTATAATTACTCTTAAAAATATCAGGAAAGATGCCATGAATGTATAGCAGTTTGTTGTTTGGTGTATAAATTATGTTAGCACATCTAACATGCTATACAGTAACTTATTTAGCTAATGGTACTAAACTTACTACTTTAGTGATTCCTCCCCCCCCCCCAAAAAAAAACAAACTTTTCTCCCTTTTTTCTTCAATATATTCCATCATGCTCTTATCCCAGTTCATTCTGTCTTCATTTTAAGCCTCCCCCCCTTTCCCACTTTATTGCTGCACCTCGTGTTCACTGCATGTTTATAGTGAACAAAGAGATGTAAAAAAGCTGGGATCGTAAAGGGAGCATAAGCTAGCTTACACCCCACGGAGAAGGGTTCTTGTACACGACAGACTGTAAACATAGACATCGCGATGTGACGTTCACTACAGGCAATTCAAGGAAGAAAAGGTCGAATACATAAGGAATAATGAATGACTAAACGATTCTTACCAACATCCGAGCACTGGTGAATAGCCCTTGCTCATGTAGCGYTTTGACGTCCTCGACAGATGCCATGTTGGATGACAGAGTCTTTAAAAATACTTCACCTTCTTTTCTTTCTCTCCAGCCAAGGTTATAAAATGATCATTAATAAGATAAAAAGAGCAGGCTAACTAATTAAACTATAGTTGCTAGCTATATTTACATTGATTAAAAAGTATAAATTCTATTAGTTTTTCTCGAACAACCCATCAACGCGCGAAAATTTCAAACTTCCGCAGGCTCAGAATGTTTGTCAGTGGGTTGGTGTTTAGCTCTAAGCTCAAGAAGCTTCGCGCATAATATTATTGTTTCTAACCGCATAATGCAATAAAATGTGCACACAATTTTTATAAAAATGCAATATATTTTGAGTGAAGTAAATGAGAAAATTTGAAATTTGTTTGTCTTTTGTTTGCTTTTCCATGCGTTTCAATGCTTTCAATGCTTTTTTTTTCCATTTATGAAGATTGGAGTCGCCTTTTGGGTTGCCTGTGTATTATTCCGCGGGATAAGGAAACAACATGGCGGTCGAAATAGCAGATTTGAAAGTGTTTTTAACTTTGCTATTCTCGGAAAGTGCTGTGTATTATGGTATAGTCTTAGGATTAGTATTGGGAATATTAACTGGATGGCTAGCTAAAGGAATGTTTTGCAAAGACGAAGGCAAAGACAGTAAGGTAGTTAAGCTTAATTTTAAGTTTGATATATCAATCTACTCTTCTTTTCAAATTTTTCTATAACGTAATTCTTATAATGGATAGGTCAACTGAAACCCAGCTTCCCAAACCGGGTGGGCAGCCCAGGGAATTAACACATTAAAGCAGGGGATTTGCCAGGAAAATCGAAGCTGTTTGGTCAAATTTTCAATTCCCCAGGTATTACCAGGGGATTGTGGGACATGGTTTCAATTGACTATACACCTATTATAATTACAGGTAGTGACGTATAAATCTGATGGTTCAGGTGAATATAAGATGGTTTTAGTTGTAAGACAAGATCTTGGTATGGGAAAAGGCAAAGTAGCTGCTCAGGTTTGTCATCACTTTTATGCTCTTGGTCTTCTTGTGTAATACCTTGGCAGAACAAATTTCAGATATCCTTCAGATAGGGTATCCTGATGTTCAAAAATTGACGGAAAAGATTGCTAACTTGCAACAGATGTTTGACAAGAAGAATAAATCAATAGAACTATAATGGTAGTTCATGTTTTTTCGAAGAATAATGTTTTGTACAGTCAGTTGTTTCTTTTTTGTCATGGTGGGGACAGGGAGAGGGGAACGGCCACAAAAAGTCTGTTTTATTAGCATTAAATATTCTGAACCATAAGGGTAAAAAAGCTAAATAAAACTGTCTGTCTTTAGAAAATTTGAACCTTGGAAATGCAATTTCCAGCACTCAGGAACATATTTTGTACAGTTAACCTATGAAAATATTGCTTGATACTGCCAAAAGTTATTAGTATACAGCCTTTTGCAAAAATTATGAGAATTGTTGANTCAATTAATGTTTAAATTCATCACCTTTGATGGCCTCAAAGTTTGTTGGTGATACTTTAACTGCTTCCCTGTAGTGTATCAAAGCCTCTTGTTGCTTACGAAGAGTTTGAAGTAGGGATGCTATCAAAATGTGTGAAAAATATGTATTTTATACATCCATTAATTTGATTAAGATATTATCTGATTGTATATTTGTACTGGTATTATCTGATACTTAGATTTTATCTAAGTACTATTTGTATATCAGCTGGTCATTCTTGACGCAATGAATCACTGGAAGCATACACATCACCATCAGTTGACATCATTTCCACAGTGGAAARWAGTTGAAACACCTATCGCAATTTATAACTTTATGTACCTTTTAGTATTAAGGCTTGCACATTACGTACATCAATAGTATGGGCCTAAATGGAAAAAAAGTCTTGATCAGAGAGTGCTAATCTTGCATCAATCTTTACATGGAGCTGCAAAGATGTCCATTCATAAAGCAAAGAACCAGTTGGGTTTACAAATCTTCAGTTTTTGTTCAATCATTCATCCTTAACATTGTAAATTTAGGTAAACTAATTGAGTACCTTTTGAGCAAAGTACACTGCTCTTGGTTTCCGATTTGTAAGATTGCAAAAATGTGCCATTGCAATCCATGGTTCTGCCTTCAATTGAGTAACCTGAATCAATTCCTTTGCAAGTCTGTCAAAACAAATTGAATTTACTAGTTTTTAGGAAAATAATATTGCCTTAACCAATAAGGCTTCCTTCATTCATTGTTATGTGACCAGCATGAACCCCCCCTTCCCCCTCACACACACACACATAATACACAAATACTACTGCTACATTAGACAGACTTACCGTTCTAACTCCTTTCCATTGTTATCTTGTGCTAACAGGCTTGCATACATATCCATTCCCTGTAACATGTTGGGATCAAGCGCACGAACCTGCATTAAAAATAAAAAAATGGTGTTGAGATTGCTAATGAGTCAAAATTTGGTTTCACCCATATCTCTCAAAGAATAATGATTTGAACATTAATGTCAATTGATCTTTCTGAACTAATTCATTACCCTTTGAAACACTGCCTTTGCATTTTTAGTGTCMCCAGCTCTGTAGAAATTCTGTGCAGTGTCACACAATATTTCTACATTGTCATGCAATACCTTTAAGACACAACAAACACAAATTAATCAGAATTATAGCTGAAATATCAAGTTCTTTTCAAGAGTAAAAACATTTTACTATTCATACTTGTTGTTCCAAGGACTTTAGTGAGGGTGCTGCCTCTACAAATAATATTTAAAAGACATGCAAATAAATATTATATAATATTATAATAAATCCCAAACATTTACTTTAATATTAAAATATTCTACAACGATGCAATGTCAATTGACTTTTTTGTCTTATATGTATAAAATGTGAACATACTTGAATGTTTATTGGTTGCTTCAAGAGCTTGTGCCTTTATCCATGTTGTTAACCTAAACAAAGAAATCACTTCATCAATATTGAGATATTAGGGCTAATACATGTTGCCTCATTTTATGATGACTTTTTYGACATTTTACCAGTCACATGGTGGGGTTCCTGATGCTGTAGACTGTTGGTTCTTTGTAACAAGTGAAATGACTTCTGTTGCTGTTGAACCAAGCTTCAGTAAACCTTTAACAGCGTCAAGTGCAGTTGGACAAACTCTGTTGCAAATAATGAATAAAATTACCGTATTTACCCACCATGTATAAGCCGCATTTTTTTACCAAAAAAGTCGTTCCCAAATCGGGGGTGCGGCTTATCTACGAGAAGTGTAAAATTGCCCAATAAAAACTAATTTGCATAAATTAGCATTCACGGTGCTACTTACTGTAGACAGGACATCAGTAATGTGATAAGTTTGTTTGGTATCAGATGATCAAACTTTTCAAAGTTATCAAATCTTAAGTTGTCAACCTTAACTACAGGCTATAATAACAATGTAATGTTGTCAATATCCTCTGAACTAGAGGGAATTTTCATGACTGCAAAATCTTCAGCACTTTCGTGCTGTGATGTTAATCATCATGACTGTGATGAGTTCAATACCTATTTTTATCAAAAATCAACAATTAGATGAGGTTAACATGCAATGATCCATGCCATTGCATAGTCATACAAAATGTGCTCTGTCAGTAAGTTTTAGCAATTACCTTAAAACTTCTTTATAACATGAAATAGAGGACCTGTAAACAGGAGCAAAGCATCATGTCATCATTTAGAAACATTAACCAAAATGTTATGAGAGATAAGGAAATAATGACCATAAATTCAGCCACAAATAAATGCCATAAATTCTGACCAAATCATTAAAATACCTGGTATTAATAACCAGCACAATATCACCTTGTGTATATTTATGCAGATGAAGGATTAACGTCCGAAATGTCAGTAGGTTGTTTCACCTACTTATTTTATGGTGTTAAAATTTATCTTTTCTTACGAAAAGATCTGTTTCTTTAGAAACGCTGATGCAGCTCACACTTCTTCACCGCTAGTTTCCACCATATTTGTGGTATACACTTATTGTAAAGGACATTTATCTAAGTTTTTTACCTTTCCATGCCTTGCCATTGATATAGATGTGCTAATGCCATATTGATCTTAGGTGTCCTCTGTTTCTGAGAAACACCTTCCAGCTGAAATAGGAGATAAATTACATGCATATTTATTGTTAAGAGCATGTCGATCTGTAGTGACGCTTATAATTATGAATTACATTTACACTATCTTCTCACAGTTGGATTAATATATAATAATATCATTACTAGTAATAAAAATAAATTTTTAATTACAATTATGTACTTACTATAGCTAATGCATCTTTGTGCTCTTTCAGAAAAGTGTAACATTGGTACATTTTATATTTTACTTGAACTTCTGGGGTAAGACCCTGAAACAATACAAACATATCACATCATGCACCTCTATTGTTTTTAAAGCCTATTCTCTCATTGTTTACTGTGCCCCAAATGAGCAATGCCTGCACGAAAGCTATTGTTTATAACATATGGGATATACTATAGCCTCCCATCAACATATGATAATAATAAGGTTCTCTAGCAGTTATCAAGCTAAAATAAGGTACATAACTATCACGTAAGGATAATCCTGCAAATCAACTTAAAATATTACACAACATAATTTCCATACCATTGAAGAGGTTATTTTGGATTTGTTCTTGCTGAGGACCTTTCTTAGCTGTAAGGCTTTATTGTAGTAATTCTAAAATTGAAAAGATTTTTTTGTTGCTACTTTGATCTAGCAAGTCACATAAAGTTAAGAGGTCAACAGACATATGCAGGGGTTTTTTTTGGAGGACGTTTCAAGTTGTGATTTGAAGATTGTGAAAAAATCATTGACTTCAAAATTGCACTAAAGTATTATTTTGGATTTGCATCAAATGTCATCAATGATGAGGCTACTTTGCATTGTATAGTATTTTTTATAGTGTCAAGTATTCAAAAATTACATTGTAAAAATCAATTTTTTTTGATATCATTGCTGTTTTCTTTACAGATTATATGAGCTACATTGAAAGAATAGCACCAGGTTGTTTGAATATAATAATAACAATACCTCGGCACGCTTATATTGTTCATCTTCAAATAAACAGTCAGCAAATATAACCATCAATGTGTACTTTGAAGCCATACTTTGTGCATCTTGTTTGTCAGTTATGTCATTTTCTTGTTCTGATAATAGACAGCTGGCCTACAATCAAAGCAAATAATTACTTATGACCTATAATTACTCTTAAAAATATCAGGAAAGATGCCATGAATGTATAGCAGTTTGTTGTTTGGTGTATAAATTATGTTAGCACATCTAACATGCTATACAGTAACTTATTTAGCTAATGGTACTAAACTTACTACTTTAGTGATTCCTCCCCCCCCCCCAAAAAAAAACAAACTTTTCTCCCTTTTTTCTTCAATATATTCCATCATGCTCTTATCCCAGTTCATTCTGTCTTCATTTTAAGCCTCCCCCCCTTTCCCACTTTATTGCTGCACCTCGTGTTCACTGCATGTTTATAGTGAACAAAGAGATGTAAAAAAGCTGGGATCGTAAAGGGAGCATAAGCTAGCTTACACCCCACGGAGAAGGGTTCTTGTACACGACAGACTGTAAACATAGACATCGCGATGTGACGTTCACTACAGGCAATTCAAGGAAGAAAAGGTCGAATACATAAGGAATAATGAATGACTAAACGATTCTTACCAACATCCGAGCACTGGTGAATAGCCCTTGCTCATGTAGCGYTTTGACGTCCTCGACAGATGCCATGTTGGATGACAGAGTCTTTAAAAATACTTCACCTTCTTTTCTTTCTCTCCAGCCAAGGTTATAAAATGATCATTAATAAGATAAAAAGAGCAGGCTAACTAATTAAACTATAGTTGCTAGCTATATTTACATTGATTAAAAAGTATAAATTCTATTAGTTTTTCTCGAACAACCCATCAACGCGCGAAAATTTCAAACTTCCGCAGGCTCAGAATGTTTGTCAGTGGGTTGGTGTTTAGCTCTAAGCTCAAGAAGCTTCGCGCATAATATTATTGTTTCTAACCGCATAATGCAATAAAATGTGCACACAATTTTTATAAAAATGCAATATATTTTGAGTGAAGTAAATGAGAAAATTTGAAATTTGTTTGTCTTTTGTTTGCTTTTCCATGCGTTTCAATGCTTTCAATGCTTTTTTTTTCCATTTATGAAGATTGGAGTCGCCTTTTGGGTTGCCTGTGTATTATTCCGCGGGATAAGGAAACAACATGGCGGTCGAAATAGCAGATTTGAAAGTGTTTTTAACTTTGCTATTCTCGGAAAGTGCTGTGTATTATGGTATAGTCTTAGGATTAGTATTGGGAATATTAACTGGATGGCTAGCTAGAGGAATGTTTTGCAAAGACGAAGGCAAAGACAGTAAGGTAGTTAAGCTTAATTTTAAGTTTGATATATCAATCTACTCTTCTTTTCAAATTTTTCTATAACGTAATTCTTATAATGGATATATGGGCAGCCCAGGGAATTAACACATTAAAGCAGGGGATTTGCCAGGAAAATTGAAGCTGTTTGGTCAAATTTTCAATTTCCCAGGTATTACCAGGGGATTGTGGGACATGGTTTCATGGTTTGACTATACACCTATTATAATTACAGGTAGTGACGTATAAATCTGATGGTTCAGGTGAATATAAGATGGTTTTAGTTGTAAGACAAG